ACACACACACACACACACACACACACACACACACACCCCTTCTGCTATTTTTTTTAAAGCAAGAACAGTATGGAGGGAGCAGTTATCAACAGAGAGAAATTAGGCAGCAAGCATGCCCCAGTCCTGAACATCAGTGTATGAGCTGGGCTTTATATTTAATTATAACCCATACTTTCCCAGCACTGGCTTTGGAATCCTCAGGGGAAGAGGCCTTTGTCCTGACACACAAATTCTAAAGGGGCAGTGATACACATTTGCAGGATGATCCAGGTCTGTGATTGTGTGGGTGTGCATGGCCCTGGGCTTGAACTCAGGGCCTTCGCACTGAGCTAGCCCTTTTTATTTTTTGTTTTGGGAGAAAGTCTCATTAAATTGCTAAGTTGCCCAGGCTGGACTCAAACTTTCAATCTCCTGTCTCAGCCTTCTGGAATGCTAGAATTACAGGCATGTGCCACCACAACCAGCATGAGTATATGTTTTAATGGGGGAGGGGTAATAAATGCCAATGATGCAGGTCAAATATACATTTGAAATGAAATACAGATATTCATTTTCAGAACATAGAGAATCATAGTGAGCAGAGGTAAATGCTACATCACTAAGAGATTCATATTTGATTTTGAGAAGTGGAGTCATAGTCTTCATTCAAGAAAAGAACACTGAGCCCTTTTCCTGTTTATTAAAATTTGGTATGAGAATTACATGAGAGGACATATGTGGAGTGCCTGGTCTAATACCTGCATAGAGGCAATTCTCACTAAATGGAGGCTTTAGTTAATCGCTGTCATTGCTCTTAGTTGGAGGGTGTGAAGGACTTGGCAAGTTGGCTGTGTTTTCTCATGGCAGTGGCTGAGTACAGTGATGCCATTTATGGGTGGGAGGCAGCCAGGAAGAGGTGTGTCTTAGGTCCTGGCTGGTTCCCATGCTGTCCTGCCTCTAGGCTGTGCATTTGTAGCCAGAGCTGCCCATTGCCTTTAGCCAGGGTCCCACGTGCACCTGTGTGAAGCTTTTCTTTCCTTTCTCCCGTCAGATTTTATTGGTTCATTATAGATATACACAGTGATCACATTCATCATAGAGAATTTGTACCTGTACATAATATAACTTATTTTTCCCCATCCCCCTGCCCTCTCTTCAACCCCTCCACCCCTCCCCATGTACAAAAGCTTTGTTTCCATTTTTTCCTTCTTTTCTCATTTTTAAAACTTTTCCCTTCTTTCTTTTTTCCCTCGCCCTCCTTTGTTCTTCTCCCCATTTGAACCTTTCTTCCTATTTCAGAATACCTTTTATACCTTTTGGTCTATATTTACACTTGTGATTCTCACAGCAGAGCAATAAGGCAGTATTTACACATGTGTCTGATTTATTTCACTTAAAAGAATGGTCTCAAGGTGCAGCCATTTACCTAGAAATATCTTGAGCTTATCCTTTATGGCAGAGTAGTACTCCATTATGTAAAAGAACCATATCTTCTTTATCCATTCACCAGTTGATGGGCATTTGGGCTGTTTCCAAGATTTGGCTGTTACAAACTGGTACTGCTATAAACATGGGTGTGCATATATTGCTGTAGTATGATGTTTTTAATTCTTTCAAAGATTGTGTGGGGCTTTTCTGGGGCCTCTTGATGCATTTGACCAGCACGGCACTTAAGACATAATTGCCCAGTCAGCGAAGTTTGTCTTTGGCTATTACCTCTGCACACCCTGCCTTCCCCAACTTAATCTGTTCCTACTGGTGGGTTTCTCTTACCAAAGATCTTTAAAAGGTTCTAGGAGTGTGACAAAAAAGTTACTAATAACATTGAGAGCTGATATGAATTAATAGGAGATCTCAGAAGTCAGGGTAAAGAACCTCAGCATCAACTACATTTTCTCCATTTGCTGTCAGGGTTCACGAGGGTACAAGCTGGGAGTACTGGGCCTTTGGACGGTGGCTTTGCCTTCGTCCTTTTATATATCCCCAGATAACCCCTATTGTAATGGGTTGTACCCATTATCTCCAGATAGGAGCCAGCTTTACTGATAGGTGAAGCCTACGTAATTTGATTCTTCACATTAGGGTGATAAGACTATTGAAAAAGTAGAGAAAAGGCCCCTGAACAAGACATTAATAGGAACCTTCCCTTCTGCCTCCTTTTGGTAATATGAGAGATGTGAGGGGCCCACTAGAAAGGAATCCCAGGGCATCTGAGAAGCTTCTCTTGTTGCAGTACTGAGGGCATGTGGTGGAATGAAGAATATTTTGACAAATCTTGGTGGCCAGAGTTGTGGGGAAAGTATTTCTCCTTATCTCCAGTGGTTCCTGCATGTACAGCCACCTGCAGACCCAGCCTTCTTCTCCCACCTGGTGAAGATGGGTGTGGCCAAGACTTCAGCGCCCTTCCCACCTCCATGTTTACCTTCTAATGAGATGCCATGGTGTATTTTGCATCCTGATTAGAATTCCTGTTGAAAATGACTCTGTGCTTCCTAGGAACTAGCCAGCTGTGGATGGAGTAAGAAGGAGAAACATAGTCTCGCCCCCAACGTCGTGGCCTTTACCCGGAGGTTTAACCAGGTAAGCATCGCCCTTGCATGTGCCTGTGCAGATGGCAGTGTGTGTCCCTGTAGGCTGAAGCCCCATCAGGGTTCAATATGAGGCACCTGGCTCCAGTCCAGACCCCTCTTCCTAAACCATTCACCTTCATCCACTCTGGTGCCATTACAGTTCATTTTCACAAAGTAGGTAGAACTGAACATGCCTTTGCGATGCTGATATCACTCCAGGGGCTTTGATTACACATCAGCTAAAGTTCAGGCACCTTGCAGTGCTCTGGGAGGTCCTGCATGGGGTCCAGCCTCTTCCCCAGCCTGGCCCCTCCCTCTTCAGGATTTACATCTTGGCCTGCCATCTTGTCTGATGTTCCCTATCTCTGGCCTGCCACTCCCTGCTTTCCCCATGCTCTGTATTCTCAGGCCAGAACTCTTCTTCCCTGTTCAATATTGTCAGATCTTTGCTTGAGTGCTACTTCCTTAGGAACAGTTCCTGAGTCCCCAGCCTTTATGAGGTCCCCAGTCATCTGTCCTTCATCCTACCTTCTACTTCGTGTGATATTTTACTGACGCATCCTTGTTCTGTGTAATCTGTGATCTGTCTGTGCCTTCCTTGCCAGGGTGTGAGCTCTGTGAGAACAGGCACCCTGTCTGTCTTGTCACTGTGTCCCCATCGCCTTGCCCAGTGTCAGGCATCTATGTAACAGACCCGTAAGTAAGTCAATGTGGGATGAATGAATGAGGTGCCAGGAAACACTTCTTGCATTGAACTTCTTTGAATGTAAGCTCACCACCCCTGTACTATTCCAAACTGACTTGATCCATCTAGAAAGTTTGTTCCAGGTATGCAGAGCTGCGTATCCATTTATTGACTAACGATTGACCATGTGGACTAATGGAGGGGTGGGGCTTCTGATTTCCTAGCCAGAGCTCCCAGAGCATGACTGAAGGTAGAAAGCAAGCTGCAAGACTCCCTTTGCATAAGCTATAGCCCCAAATGGTGCTCTTGGCAGTTTTTCTTCTTTATTCTGGTTTTTCTGGTTTCACATGAGGACACTGGCCTAGGGGTTGCATAACATGCACGACTGGCCCTCAGGTGCTGAGGCTTGTGCTCCCTTGGGGCCTTGGGTCCAGCTGGGCCTTCCCTCTTGGAAATGCCTGGTTCTGTGCATCACTGTTGTTTTTTGTTTGTTTTTGTGATTTTTTTGTTTGTTTTTTTGCGGTACCAGGGATCGAACTCATGACCTTGTGTTTGCCAGGCAGGCGCTTATGCCACTGAGCTATATCCCCAGCCCCTCTGTGCATCACTGTTGCTCAACATCTCTAGTCCCTTCAAGTGTAGCGGAAGCCTCAGAGAGGCACCAGTTTGCTTTTTGAAGATCAGGGTTTGAGTCAGTGGTAGTGTTACTCAGTATAGTACAATAGAAGCCAAGAAAGGACTTCATACATCTGGGCTGGGGGCTGCACACCGTCTGTTTTGAAAAAAAGATGTTCCAAGCCTTTTTGCTTCTTTCCTCTTTCTTTAGAAAATTTTTTCAACTGGGCTTAGTCTTTTTTAAAATACAGATGTGCACAAACTATCAGGGGATTCATAGTTTCCTTAACGAAACTATTTGACTGGGAGCCAACTCAGTCCCCACCTTTGACCAGTCGCAGAGCTCCCAGAGGAGGGGCTGTTGGGGGATCTGATGTAATCTGCTTTGCATGCGGATGCCAGGTCAGCTTGGCAAAGGCAGTACAGCTTGTTCTGTGAACAATTGCATTGTGTCCAGCTCAGGCCAAGTGGTGAAATGAGCCAGAAGTGAAGGCCCATTTTCTCAAACAGAATGCTCTGGGAAATGGTCTTCCTGCTGACCCATCAGCTGCTGAGAGCCAGCAGCTCCTGGACATAGCACTGGTAGCTCTGGTTTGAAAACTGGCCAGAGGCCAGCCTGGTCAGCCACTGGAGCTGCTTTGTATGAGATGAACTCATTGGCGTCCCTTCCTAGCAGACTTTTCACATGTGAGACCGGGACTCCTCATCAGACTCCAGAGAAGAGAAAGGAGACCACTTACCGCTCAGAGCCTCAGTTTCCTTATCTGTAACTGAGAAGAACAATAGTAGTCACCTTGCACAACTGCTTCGAAGAGTAAATGGTATATAAAGAGCTTTCAGCATGGGTCTAGTACATGGTATCCATCCAGATGTTTCAAGGGAAGAAAAGGAAAACATGGAGGTCAGCTAATTAGAACGAAGTTGCCAGGGATTTGATGCAACATGTAGCCAAAACAAAAGGCAAGTGGGGAGTGTCCTGGCCAGTCCACCTGCCTCTCCCTGGGTCTGAGTCCCTTGGGATTCCTTCATAGAGTGGAAGGATAGCAGAGCTCAGCCAAGTTCACTAAAGGTCTGTTATATGCCAGGCCTGTGTCTCTACTCCAAGGAGTTCATCATATAGCCCAGAAGTTCTGCATCTCTTTTGGATCATGGATTCTTGTCAGAATCTGACATTATCACATATGAACCTATTCCCAGAAAATCCTCAGATGTATAAACTTGCATTTAAGTTTTGGGGTTTTGTTGTTGCCCTGAAGTGTGTGCAGGGGCACTGTAAGGGTCTCAGGATCAAAGAGACCCTGGTTTGAGTCCTAGCTCCACAGTTTATTAGCTGTGTAATCTTGGGGTGACTTGTGGTCTCTGTGAGCTCATCTTCCTCAGGAAGTATCTCAAGTGGTTTTTAAAGATTAAATGAGAATTGTGGGTGTAAAGAACTTGGCCTAGTACTTGGCACCTAGGAAATGAATCATGTTAACTTTTAAAAAGGGAGCAGTGTTGAAGGAACTCTAAGGCCGCAGTAGGAGAGAGGGGCCTAAGTGCGGATGTGAGGGTGGGGATTGGGTTCCAAGAATGCTGAGAATTCTGGAAAAGATGAAGGGGAAACTGGGAGAAACAAAGGTGCAACCGAGAGCCTGAGGACTGCTGCCGTTTGTGGATGGGCAATGGCAAGGGGCTGTACAGGAAGCCAAGCAAGGGCAACTGGGAGCAGGAAGAGTACTCAGGAAGGGTAGTATCTAGAATCCCTTTGAAGGTGAGGAATGCAGCAAATTGGGTCATCCAATAAGGCCAGAAAAGAGGCCTTGGAGCCTGGCAGCAAAGGCCTGCTGGTGACCTCAGCCAGACAGTTTGGTGGGGACATGGCAGGCAAAGTGGTGGGAGGTAGAGATGATGGAGAGGCCAGGAGGACGAGTAGCCAGGAAGTGGTCATGTTTTCTTCTTTGGGTAAAGCCTTGAGGATGTTCACATTTCGCATTGAAGTATCCAGTTAGATCAGGAAGTTAAAGATGAGCCCGAGAGAGGGATGATTAATGAAGTCAAGTGTGAGAAGAGGGAGAGGCTGAGACCCAGGGCCTCTTTCAGAGGAGATGTAAGGTGCTACTGCAGGCTGCCTTAGGTGTAGTGCAAGGAGGCCTGTGGCTCTTCTCTAGGGAAAGAGGAGGCAAAGGTGGGTTGGGGATCAGGCAATTGTGAGAAATCCACTCCACAGTAAGGGAGAGAGCTGGCTGTGGAAAGATGAAAGACTCTTAGGCAGCAACAGTGACCCAGATGAAACAGATTGTAGCTTTCAAAAGAGCATGTGGGCAGGTGGTCTTCTCTAGTTGTCCTTTGCAGGCTGGGACTAGGAGCAACCATCTACACACATGGGTTGGCAAAACAGAGTTTCTGGAAGGACCAAGAGGTATAGGAACTTCAAGCCCTGGTAAAGAAAGTGCTGAGTTGACAGTGATAGAAGATAGGTCTGCCTGAGAGGAAAAGGATGCTGTCTTAGTTACTTTCCTTGTTGCTGAGACAAAATACCTAACACCTAAAGTTAAAGGAAAAAAGTTTATTTCGGCACATAGTTTGCAGAGGTTTCAGTCCTTAATCAGCTGACTCCAAGGCAGGGTGGTGTGGCAGAGGGTCATCACTGTGGAGAAAAAAGTTCATGGCATGGAAGGAGGAAGGCAGGAGGCAGGAAAAGCAGCAAGCAACAGCAGCATCCCTCTTTTTGTCCCTTACATTCTAGCCAAGTTACATGCCCTTAGGGCAGGTGGCACTCACACCTGGGGTGGGGCTTCCCATTATCCACACCTAGATCTATACTAAACAATCAGTGGATGGACTAATTTAGTAATCACACACGCTTAATTCCAGCATCACACTTAATTCCAACATCACACACTCTAAATCCAGTCACTTGTGAAAAGCCCCAGCTATGACCACATGTGGTTTTAGGGAGAAATCTACACACAAGCTATAACAGATGGAGAAGGGCTGCCAGGGACAACAGGTGGTGATAAAACAGACCTGGCACAGGAAATCAAGGAGAAGGTGAGGCTTCAAAACTTGAAGGTGTAGCCCAAGACTGGGATGTATGTTGTGGTGTCAAGCAGTCCCTGGTAATCAAGAAGGTGGTGACAAAAGTGGTGGAGTTAACAGCTGAAGTGGTCAGGGGGCCTGAGGTCATGGTCATTTTCAGTGATGTCAGAGTTGCCTAAAGAAGACGTAGAATTTGATGTGGAGAGGAAAACAGTGATCCAAATCCAGATCTGTTACCACCTTTATACTTTTACCTTTCCCAAAATGTCATTAAAAAAAAAAAAAAGAACCATACATACATACATACATAGCCTTTTCAGACTGGCTTCCCCCTTTTGAATATGCATTTATGATTCATCTCTGTGTATGTGACTTGATAACTCATTCTATATTTAAAAAAGAGGAATACTGTTCCATTGTATGGATTTTGCTGTTATTAGTTTATCCATTCACTTACTAAAGGACATCAGGTGAATGGATAAAAAATAAAGAAAGAAAACTGCCTTTTTTGTAGATGATATGACTGGCTATGTGGAAAATTTTTTTAAAAAAGGCTTTTTAAAAAACCGTCCGGAACTAATAACTTCCATTGTTTGACAACTATGAATAAAGCTTCCATAAGCCAGGTGTTGTGATACATGCCTGTAACCCCAACATTTTGGGAAGTTAAGGCAGAAGGATTGCAAGTTCAA